ACAAAGTGCCGAAAATTCCTACCTCCTCTTCCTTACTATTTGCAGACGATATAAAGATATGGAAAACCGTAAATGGTAACAATGATAGGTTGGTGCTACAAAACAATCTAGATAAATTAGCTGAATAGGCTTACCTTTGGAGTCTGGAAATTAATTCCAAGAGAAGCACGGTAACGCACCTAGGTCGGAAGTCTTACACGTCGTACTCCCCGGGGGACACAGAACTCCCAGATATTAGGGAACAAAAGGACTTAGAAATTATTGTAAGCCATGACTTAAAAACTAAGGCGAAATGTAATCGAGCCGCAGCTTAGGCTTTTCGAATGCTATGGGCACTTCGAACGATTAGACGAGGGTATGTTCCGAGTACTCTATGCAACATATGTCAGGCCTCATCTAGAATACTGCATACAAGCGGTGAGTCTATGCTTCAAAAAGGAGGCACATATCCTGGAAAGACTACAGAGGGTAGGAACGAAATTAGTTAGTGATATCTCATACCTTCCTTATGACATGAGGATGGAGCATTTAAATCTCTTCCCATTATCATACCGAAGGAGGAGAGGCGACTCAATTTTGGCTTACCGTATATTCAAGGGTGATTTAGTGATTGACCTTTCAAACCTTTACTGTAACTCTAGGATACATTTATGAGGTCATCACAAAAAGGTGCTCAAACCGATCTCGAATAAGATACATATGGAATTCAAATTCTCTCACGGAGTGGTCAACGACTCGAACTCCTTACCTGATACAGAAGTAACAGCTCCATCGATGAACGCTTTCAAACAGAGACTGGATCTCTGCAGAGATATATACCGCAAGGATTAGCATAGGCAACGAGAGCCTTCTATCCTCATTGTCTGAACCTGAAGATTAATTACTTGGATGCTCTAATATGTTCAAATATTTATCGTAATACAGGTGTAATAACGCGTCAAGAAACTTGACTCCACGATTCATATGATGACAATGTAATCTCTCTAAATGGTTTCACTATGTACAGACAAGACCGAAGCAGTGCAAGGAAGAAGCGAGGTGGTGGTGTTGCTACTTTTATCAGTTCTCAGTGGTCTGTTGCCAACAACGTTTGCCTTAAATTCTCAAATGATAATATTGACTGTATAACTGTTAAATGTCGACCTAAACACCTGTCTAAGTATAGCTTCATTTTTATCACGAACATTTATGTCACACCTTGTTGTAGTACTTCAGAACTATCTATGTTCGCTGATAAATTCACTATTTTCTCTGCCGCCTCTTTTGGTAACTCATTGTCCATAGTTAAAGGTGATTTTAATTCTTGTGACTGCAGTTTTCTTACAGTGCTAGGTCATGAAAATGTCGTTAACTTTCCCACCCGACTGGATACTTCTCTTGATCTTGTATTTATAAATGACTGCGGAATATACGAAGCTCGTAAAAGAGCCCTACTGCTTAACTCAGATCATTGTATTGTACGGGTTTTACCCAAAATTTATGGAAAGTTACACAAGAGAACCTCTTCACACCCGTCCAAGGAAATTGTACATGGATGTTACTCTCAGGAGAATGTTCAGAATCTTAGGAGCATGCTCAAAGACAAAAGATGGGACTTGTTTAATGAAGACTCTCTTGAGGACACTATCTCTAATATTACATGTTATCTCAAATTTTGTCTTGACACCTGTTGTCCCAGAGAAACACTCTTCATCAGATTTGGCCGTTTCTCCTCCCCTCAGCTTGAAAAGCTTCGCAGGCAAAAAGAAAAGTAATATAAAATGAAGGATAACATTAGTTTGAAAGGATTTAACATGCTAATCAAGTCTGAAATACACAGATTGAATTTAATTTATAACCAGAGTTTTATATCCGGCGAAAATGCCTCTAATATATTGAAACTTTTCAAAGAAGTCACTGAGGGTAAGCAGACGCATAGTATTCCTTATTCATTTGATGTGTGTACACTAAACAATTCTTTCATACATTCTCTCACAAATGCCAAACTTTCTAGTGTCAGAAGTGCTAATGAAGCCGGCTTCTCTGATTTCAATACGAATGACGTTCTAAAATGTCTCCAGTCTCTGAACCCATCTTGTAGCCTAGGTCGATATGGTTTGCCTAGCCCTATTCTAAGAAAATGTGCAGATATCCTGTGTTATCCTCTCATGGACATATTTAATGAATCTTTTCCCAGAAATGTCGTGCCAGCCGTTTGGAAGGACATTAAAATTGCACCTATACCGAAGTCATCTACTGGAACATGTTTTAAATTTAGACCTATTGCTATTACCCCTACTTTTCTTAAAACTATGGAAAAGTTACTCTTACTTTGTTAAGTATGCGGATGATCTAACTATTTCAACGACTGTTAACTCCCAGCTACACTGTACTAAGATTAACAGCTTTCTATCAAGAGTTAGCAAATGGTCTTCGTCCAATGGTCTTAAACCAAATCCCTCCAAATGCCGGACTGTTAATTTCAGTCTCTGATGTAAAAGAAAGTTAAATGAAGCTTTTGGTTCCTATGAACGTTGCAAAATTGATGATAGTGATATAGAAATCAAGTCTGAAGTTAAGTATCTTGGATAAATTCTTTCTTCTGATCTATCCTAGTCGTCCCATGTATTAGCGATTTCTAAAATAATATTTCGTCTGAATTTTTACATTAAGCAGATAAGGCACTCAGGCATAACCCTAACAATCCTTTTATAGTTTGTCAACGCTTGCACCTTACCTATTCTTCTTTACTGTTCACCTCTGCTTATTCTTTCCTGGATTGCTTAAAAAAGACTATGTCATACTTGGTAGAGCTCTGAAGACTGTCAGTCAGTAGGGCGAGAGGTATCCCATTGAGCCATATCGTTGACATCATCATTGGTGGGCACTTGATGTCATGCAACAAATTTGCTAGAGGAATTTTGTCAAAGTGTGAGCATCCAATTTACCCGCAGCGCCAACGTTGCGTCTCCTCAGGTAAAACAAGAAGTCTTTTCAAAAGACTTTATGTACGTACGTCTAAGTACAAAGATTCCACTATACCATATTGTTATTGTTTATAATCCGCTCAATTTTTTGTTTTTATTTGTTCATTTTATCACAAGTGTGAACATCATTTAAGCTGTTTTATAACTGTTAATTTTGTATTTCCCCTCACTATGCTGCTATATCAACAGAATATTAGATTCAATACTCTATAACATGCTAAAATTTCCAAACTGAATCGACAATACTGTTTCAAACAAAATCACTGCTATTATTATTATATTTATTACTCTCATTTGTACTTGGAATATTTTTGACTTTATATCGTAAGTGTGGACAAATTCCTCTGGTTAATTTTGTTCTAATTTTTAATTTTATGTATATTTTGAGTAAATCAGATGCAATATTATGACAAATGCTGAGAATTCAATTCTGTACTATAAGTGCTGTTTTTGGAATAAAGTAGATTATTATTATTATTACTATTATCATTATTACCTAATAAACAAGCTACATCTAACTTCAACTTTACTGGCCATATTATACCACTGAAAATATGTGGTAGAACTCAGGTACCTATGTTCAAAGATAAGTAGCTCGTCTTCTCTTATATTCCACTTTCAATGGCTGTATCTCACAGTCAGCCATGGCGAAGGACGGAGCGAACTACAGCTTAGTACACACGTCGTTTGACCGATAGCTGGATATCACGTGTACGCCAGTGATGTCGTAGGTTGTTGAATTCCAGAAAAGCCTTCTGTTTCGTTGCTGATAAGCAGCATATTTGAATAGAATGAAACATTTTAGTCATTACTAAGAAAAAGCTCTTAGTAATTATCTAACTGGTGTGCCTGAACTACGAAGTCTGAGGATACGTTTTCCCAGATGAAAGGGAGAATGCAAAACAGCGTCCGATGCCGGTTAGGAAGAAATGAATGCTCAAAAGGCCTAAGCGTTTATTTCGGTGATTGGGTGTTTGTGTGTGTTTGTTTTAGGCATACGTTTTTGATGCCATGGATGGTGCACAGCATGGAGTGATAAAACATACTGTGGTATGTCAAAGAATAATGACTGATTGACTGCACGGTGTTACACAAAAACAACGATTTGGAGCTTGTGTGATGCAGTGTAATCTGAGGGCGAAATGTAATATAGCGCGAACGTTTCTCCTTAGTTCGACTGGATGGGTGTGCGAAGAAAGACGGATCTATGAGTTAGTGTAGAAGGTTACGACGCCTCCAAGATCAAATGTTTAAGACTTCCAGTATCCTTTTTCATTCTTGGATCCAAGACTGGAGATTTGTCAGTTGGCATCCGGCCGTATTCCATTTTCGAATGAAGCAACTATAAAAAGCCTATCACTGATGAGTAGTATATTAATGTTAAGTGAAGATGGCTGGGGAAGATTTAAAGGTTTCCAAATTAAAACAAGGTATCGATTCATAGATTCACGGTTTGTTCGTCTGGGCCACATGGATATGTCATGACTTGAAGTTTCGTCTTTCTTGACTTCATCAATGAATGAGCTGTTAAGGTGATCAATTTTGTCTTATCTCAGTCGTTTAAAACGCTGTTATCCTAACATTAATACACACCTTGAAGTCGTCCGTTTACTTGTGTGAATACTTTAAATTGTACTGCATAGATTCAGGTTGTTGAACTGTTGCTGCTCATGCGTTTCTACTGGATAATTTAAAACTACTTGAGAAAGCTTTAATTATCGAACAATGCTTATATGAGGTGGTTGGGGCTGCTCTTACCTGAAGCACAGACGAGAAACCATTAGATTCGAGTTGAATTAAAGATATAGCTGTCAGTTTATCTAACAAGTTAATTCTATCGGGTACGTATAATTGGATCGTTTCAACTGAGGATCCGAAAGCAAGAGAGGCAACACGTACAGGTTTGTTGATTTTGCATAACATAGATTCTGTATATGTATGTTGTATTTTGCTTTGCTTCTTGTAAATGATTTAATTGGTAAAATTTTTATTTATTGAATGAATACTTGCTGAAAGCAAATACTGTTATGTAAAGCATCCTGACTGAAGCTTGGATTTGCTGAGGATTGACTTTGTAAGAGGAACCTAGACACAGGCGTAGGTTGAACAGAAGTCGCTATCTGTTCTTCGTTCTGCTGTGATGTTAACCTGTTGTTATTTGTTGTTAACAATGAAGAAGTCATTTCAATCTAGTTGTTGTTGTTGTTGTTTGTTTAAATGTAGATGTTGGTGTTTCTGGTGTAGAGTTAGTCACAGCGCTGCTTTTTCTTCAAATGACAGAATGAATACTCTCTTTAGCTACATATTGTTTACATGATATTGTCTTGTTGTGTATTATTACAAACATTTTGAGCCTGTTGTGTTTAATGATGCGAGAATAGATTGGATGATGATAATGATGATGATCAAATAAAGTATAATTACATTTCAGTGGTTTACACAAAATGATGAGTTTTTGCTTTTCGTAATATTTCGAGCAAAATTACTGCCCATGTTCACACCAACTTTTGGAATTATTTTGTTTTTTAAAGTATGCCAGCGTCATTGGAGGTGACTGGAGAATGTGAGACTAGTTGTTGGAAGGTAGAGAAAGTGAAGAAAGCGTCAAATATATGGGACAAGGATAGGGGTGATATGAGTGCCAGTTAATCGCATGTTCGCAAGGATATGCAGGAAGATAGCGATAATAATAACGATGTTGGTGAGGTTGTTGACATTGAATTGATTGTAGATGAAGTAACTCGTTCATATGATGAAAAAAGCTGTTGTCGATGACTGTTCAACACAACTGTTGGAAAGGCTGAATCCCAGTGCCATTAGTTCTTTAGCTGTTGAAGGTAATAACGCATCTCTCTTGCGCAATACCATAATTATAGAGTTGTCTGATGATGATGACCATGGTGATGATGGTGGTTATGATGCTGATGATGAAGATAGTGTGGAAGAATTCTGTTGTGATTGGTGGTTAAAATGTGTGAATTAACAGTAAGATTGCTAATAAAAGTAATGCTGGTGCGAATTATGAACTTTCAGAGATACCCAGCCCAGCAGAGTCACTTTAGTAATTTGATATAGTGCAATAGTTGATCTACTGTGAATTCTTTGTTTCTGAAAATCGTCTTGTACAAAATCCTTTCATATGTTGGATTTTTCAAAGCAAAGCAAACACTTTAATCAGATGATTGTTTTGTTCGACTGTCTTGTTTTTTTTCTTTGTTTGTGTTCACATGTTGTTTCCTTTAAATGTTTTATTTGAATGGCTTAAAGAGGTAGAATTAGTTAAGGCTAAGATTGTAAACTTGTTATTGATGGGTAAGGGTACACAGTTATCCCTTATCATAGACAGACATGTTGAAATTTTGAAGAGAGGATGTTCTGGCTCATATTGCCTAAACTGACATTTCGTTATCTTGCCTCCATAGCCCATGGGAGGAAGATGGAGGTTTTATGTGTTGAATAAAATAATTCATCTCAGACTGTTTCTTTAGTGAACGTGGAGACGGTTGGAGACTTTCAAGTGTTGAGTTGTGGGGATTTGAATAATTTGAACCTGAAAATATTTGGACTGTGTTTGTAAACTTAGGAGCACTTGGAGCTGTCTGCCTTTGCTCGGTGATGAGCTAGGGATTAGTTTGCGATGATGATCATCTTACCACCAGGGTGAATTCGAATGACTTGTAGATTTAAGTTATGTCAACTCTCGATGTTACGCTACTGATTTTCGCTTATCGCCGTGTTTTTCAGGTGGTATATATTCAGACGGTATCTTTTTTGGTCAGTTGCTTGATGATGTGGAGTGTAGATATTCAGACGAGAATATAAAGCGTTGTAGGCAATTGTAAATGGTATTTCGGATGAATGTTACTGAATTGATTAAATGCTTTTTATGAACTCGTCTTTCTTTATTTTCATTATATCTTAAGGCAGGTATTCAGCTTCGTTTTTCAGAATTTGAGCATCGTTTGTAATCGGTTTGATTTCGCCAACATCTCTTGAACACATAGTGTTGTCTTTTAGTCAACGCAATGATTCAATCTCTCAATGAATTGATTAATTGGCTTCACACCAATGGTTTAGAGCTCTGCATTCACAGAGTGTGAATTATTTGAAACTTCGTTGCAGCTGTTCATCGGGATGAGGTTTTATTGTTGACTACTTCTATGCGGGTCTTATAAAGACGTGTTAGAGAACATCATCCAGCATGGCTGCAAAGAGGAGGCACTGGTTCAATCAGGAGCGCCATAACTGAACACCTCGTCAATACCTGTCACAGCATCTTAACTGACGCATCATACAAAGTCATTTGCAAAGTAAAAAAAAATCTGCCAAAGGCAGTGTGTTTCCGACTTCTTTGTACTTCAGAAGCTGTCGCCATGTACATCGAAAAGCCGAAACTGCGTGTTTAAAAGAAACCAGACCAGCCTTTACAACTACCGTGGACCTAGTTCGGTATGTTTCCTTATCCCTCAGTTTTTTTGTTTTGCTTTGTTCTCTGTGTGTGTATTTTTCTCTCTTTGTCTTCATTCAATTCATCCCATTTTTTCATTTATAAAATCAGTTTTTCTAAGTTTGTTTCCATGCTGCTCCTGATCACACTTGTAATCCGTTTAGGATAACCATTTTACAATTATATTCTAATCCTGTGTAATTTTTTGTTTCTAAGCCTCTTGTAGTTCATATCAAGTTGAAAATAATTGTCAGCTTTTATTCGCCTTTAAAATTATTTCTGCGGTTATCAAGTATTAATTTTGCATACGTTCTAATCCTATGTAATATTGTCTCTAAGCCCCTTGTAATCTATATTCATACCTTCAAACTTTCATATGAAGTTGAAAATTATTATCACCTTCTTCGTTACTATGTGGAGTTAGATAATTAATAATTGTATCCATGTAAACTTATGTATATAATTGCGATTGTACAGCTTTTGAGAATGAAATCGCCGGAAAGATCGTCATCTTTGCTGAACTTCTTGTTGTTTTCCCTCTATGTCAGATCAACTGTAATTTAGTGGCTCTTCTTGCCGTTATGGTGTGTGTGTATGTGCAAATGATTCAGTCTTTTATCTTAACTTTATGGTATTTATCAGATGTATGCACTATCATAAATTAAGTCTGCTTCTCTTATACACTTTTACAATTTGTGTTTCTCTTTGTAAATAGACATACTTATTGCTTTCACTATAGGTTGGACATCAAATTCCTCGTTATTATAATAATAATAATTATTATTATCTGTCACCATTTCCTTGGTCATCTTATAATCTCAAGCGTAATATGCAAACTACTGTTCAGTATTTGTACTTTCACCTTCAATTATTATTATTATTATTTCTGTCTGTCTGCTTTCGACATAGAACTTTGCACCAATGTGCAGCAGTTCGAGTCGCCACACTCCATGTATCACACAAAACAAGAGAAGAAAGTAGAAGAAATGTACAATAGCGACAGTAGACAGAGATATGAGACAAAGGAATAGTAATAACGAAGAGCAATACACTCCATTATGGATAAGATTTTATTTTGATACATCACACAGTGTTACACAGTAATATTAACTGATGACGTTTCGAGCACAAATTATTGCTCATAATCATATCAAGTTGTGTGAGTAACTTGATATGATTATGCATTTAATGCATTTAATTAAATTTTGTTTTTGTTCAACGACGATCCGACTTTAGAAACCTGTCAGTTGACCATTCCATGTAGGTTTTCTAAGAAATAACCTTATTAATGTTCCGTTGAGTCTTCTTTTAGTTTCACGTCAAGAAAAGGAACTCTGGATTCATCTTCTCTTTCAACAGTGAATTTCAATGTTGGATAGCGGTTGTATAATACCTGTAACAACCAACTGAAGTCACAATTTTTCTCACGAACGATGAAAATGCAAGGAATATAATTGAAAATTTTCAATGATCGGCTTTAAACGACCTTTCTCGGGGCTTATCACGGAGCACTCTGCTAGTAATGTACCCAAAGAAGGTCACATTGTAATGTCATCCTATCGTCTGTAAATGGTATTTAACAGCCGCAACTGTACAGCTAACGGAAATGAATTCACCGAAAAGAGCCTCTTTGTTGAAATAACTTTTAGTTCACTTCATTGAAATAGTTTTGATTTTCAGACAGAATGAGTAATAACTAAGTCTGTTTCTGTCGTTTTCAACGCATCAGTGATTCGTTTGTCTGACTGTTCATTCTTCCAGTTAAAGTATACCCAAAGTGCGCATTAAGGTTGTTGAACCAATAAAATGAAAGTAGGATGTGAGATTTATTTTTTCATCGTTTTGGCCGGGATTAGTAAGTTGCTAGAGGCACACATTACCATGATTGAATTAGATTACTCTTGATCAAGTGGCTCTTTTTGTTATTACCGATATAAATAACTACTTTGATTTCAGGTGGAACATACGGATTCACCACCACCTTTTCATTGTTTCTGGCTGTCTCCCTTCACTTTCAACAGAATCCACGACTACCCACAAGCTTTCATTTTCTCTCAACACGGCTTCTTCCGTGCCACCCCCAGAACCACACCCAACTCATTGGCTTTCATTCGGGTTCCATTAAACTGTGGACTGCTTCGCTCCCACGATAATTCTTCGTTGCTTACCCTTTCTTCTCGACTATCTGATCTTCAGCATAGAAAGCGGCTGTTGATCAAAGTCTGCAGTGATCTGTTGAAAATGTTCTAACTACACTTTACTTATTTTAGTCGGCCAACATATTGATTAAGAACTAATAATTCATTTTATTAGCCTGTATTCACCTTAGCCAAAAGTTCATTTGTTGTCTGCCCGTAAACGAACCTGTATTATGCCACCTTTATTCATGAACTAATCTCTGTTTGTCTATCCGTCTATCTGTTTTTACATGCTTTTTGTTAGGCATATTTCTTTGACTATAAAGATACTATCATATGTTGAATATATAAAATTCTTTGCAGAAACGATGAAGGAAATTTGTAGTTCAGGTGGCTGAATGATATTTTGATTTAGCTGCGTTGGATTTTCTGGTTTAACTTTGAAGTAGCTTTCATTGTGTTTCTTGACAAAATCCCTTCACTACTAACTCCAATATGAGGTCAGCTTTTGCAATTCTACGTGAGGTTATCAGTCATCTCTTCCAATTAGCTTAAACGTGATTGGTTGTTTCCAGAGATTTTCTCATCCTTCTGTTAAACTGTATTGGTAACGATTATTTTGTTGACTGAAAACTGGATGTTTTGTCTATGTGACGACCTCCTTTCTTATTGTTTGATGGATCTAACTCATGCCAGATTGTCTGCCGAGAGGTGATCAGTCCGAGTATCAGGCTTGTAGAAATCTCGGTGTTTCTGTTGCCCAAGGTTTTTACTTTTTTCCAGTGGTATTGGTTTTTATAGTTTTCCACTGATATGAAGGAATGATTATCATTTACCTCATTGCTACTTCATTAAATTTCATTCTGTTGCCTCATCTTTTTCAGGTGTACCAGTACTACACGATGAGAGCGATGAAGAAGGCTAGCGACATATGTAGAACACCTCTAGGATATTAAGCAATAAAACTATACCTTTTAAAAAACACTAATATTGTTCCAAAGTGGAAACTAAACACATCAAATTGAATATTGTACCACAACCAAACATTTTAAATAAAAGTTTTGTTTGTATGACTACTATTAGTCCTTGGACGTGTAAACTGAAACAATCTTTTTTAAGGATATGTAAAGTCAGCAAATGATTTCTGGTGTTATAACAAAAAAGCTACAGACAGCTATTACCATGACGCGGTGGTCAGGCTGGGACATCACGATAACCCTCTACGAGCTGTGCTGGACGTAACGAATATAAATCCAAAAGCCTTTAACATGACATTGTGTAAATCCGTCGCACTGAGTTGGAGGGGTGTTAGGTCGAAGTCGGGCTGTAAATTATCTTCCTGGGGCGACTAGCAAGCCAGTAATGCTGGTACTCTATATTAGAGAAGGCGTTAAGAAAAGTCCACCTCAAAATATTTGTATCCGAAATTACGTCGCAGCGGGCCGTAGTCAGCTGCAAATTCTCTATATAAACACAACTCCGTACTGGTAATGTGTGATGGGCTTCCAGCAGTCGTCGTTTGGGCTTTTCGGTCATGGAACACTAATTCTCCTTCTGTTTCATTTAATAATAGAATAACCTCTGGATACAGTAACCTACACATATGGTTGTGAGATCACGTCGAAACAAAATATGCTCATCAATGATCTGTACCCTGTCCGAATTTCCACAGACATTGAAATTCAATTACTACCTATCTTCAAACATAACAGTGATCAATAACTCGAATAATCTTCTTGCTTGAGTTTATTGATATAAGAATGGAACTTGTGCTCTGTCGCAGAGTATAATGGAACTGCTTGAGTTTAGTTTGTGCAGAGTATAACAGAATGGAGAGTGAGAGAGAGATTGATAGCTAAAGCTTCATTTATCGAATCGATTGACAATAAGTGCAATGAGAATTATTCAATACCTGCCTAACAGGGCATCTGGAAAATTCTGCTACTTTATAGACAAAAGGGAAACAAGAAGGAGGACTGTAAGGGTAATCGAGTTTCGATATTCTGTTAGAACTGAACAACAATAAATTGTATCCGAAATGCCATCATCCATTATTAATTGTACTGTTCCACTGTATGTGATAAATCACCCATTCAAGAAATTAGTGTGGAATTACATACTAACCACAACATTGTCCAATCCTTATATACGTATATATTCTTAGTGATGTCCAAGCAATGTGCAGCAATTATTCGTGACTGATGAAACTGCCTAGGTTAGATGTGAAGCCAGCATACTCATAGACAATATGAAACTCTATTTGGTGTTTCTATTACGTTTACAATATTAGCCAAGCATATAAATTTGGTTTTTTGATGTACAATAAGATGAACTTGTATTTGGCACCCATTAAAGCATGGTCGAAGTCCAGGCATGTACTCCAGAAGGAGTAGCAGCCATGTATGCATCCACGTGATTAATCTGAATCCAAGCTTGATTGGCAGAGGTGGGATGCCATCCAGCGCTACAGCGACGGAGGTACCGGAAGTGGGGGCTGGTTAGAAATAAGTTGTGACCTGCGCAAAGCTACGAGGAACTAGAGACGCTCCTCTTT